GGTGAATGGAAGTGTCAGGGACACTCTAGAGGCAATCATGTCCTCGGGAAGTGGGCACGGGTGAAATTATTGTGGTTCAGTCATTTATCAGTTGTGTCCAACTCCTCGTGACCCCATTTGGGGTTTTCTTGGCAAAGATACTTGGAATGGTTTACTATTTCCCTCTCCAGCTCATTTCACAGATGAGGAAACTGAGGCAAACAGGGCTAAGTGACTTGCCCAGGGTCACACAGCTAGGAAGTTCCTGAGGTCAGATTTGAACTCAGAAAGATGAGTTTTCCTGACTCCAGGCCCCACACTCCATCTATTGTGCCATCTAGCTGCCTGCAAAGGACAAAATACAGCCTGTTTATCCAGGCCCCCAGCCCTGGTCTTCTGTGGAGGTGAAAGTGGGCCACAGACCTTTCTATAATAAGGGAAGAGAAGATGATGGGACAAATGGCAATGATTTCACAAAAGTCCTCCCAGTAGAAAAGGAAGAGAGATTATAGTGGTCTCCAGATGCTGTTGTAAAAATTCTGAATGCTTGCACATCACCCAGGCCCCTCGGGCTGGTTCTGTCAGGTTTTCTTTTTCCCTGAGTAAATGCATGACTTTGTGAGAGGATTATTTCATATAAAATGAACCATAAAATGGTATGAAAAGTCACGGGGATATCTTGCCAGGCCATCTCAGTGATGTCTGGAGGGGGCTGCCTCACTGAGAGTGGACCCAGCTCCCTTACTCAAGCCCTAATCCAGACGTGGCTTCAGAGAGCACCCCATGAGGTTTGGTGCCGCCTTCTACTGCCCAGGCTCCTTCTGGGCACAGGAACAGATTCCCTAAACTGGAAATCCTGATGCAGTAGTATGGTGTGATCAAGGGTCAATCACTGCCCCTTTCTTGGTCCTAGCTTTGCCATCTACAGGATGAGGAGATGTCCGTGTAAATATGTGCATGGCTGCATAGATGTATCCTTATGCATGTACAAGATCCCAGCCCATGTATACATGCGCACATGTCCCCTCTCATGGGGATGTGAATGCGTACTCACATGTATGTGTGTGCTTGTATACACATGTGTGTTGAAGTCTATCAGTGTGTGTATGGCTCTGTGGGCACAGGTATGACCCCACTCTTCTCAACCCAACAGCAGACTGGAGAGGTGACAGATACAGCCTGCCAGTGAAACCTTCTTATTGGGGGAGGAGGTTTATGGTCATTTGATACAGAAGATAAGGGTCTGCACAACTGCAGTGACACCTCCACCCATCGATGCCCACTGATCTGCCAGATAGCTGGGCAAGACTCCCTTGCCCACCACCATGAGTTAGGACTCCTTAGTGACAGATGATCTTGGGTGCCTGACTGAGAGCCGAGAGCCCTCTCCATGGTATTGGACTAGGCAAATAAGAGCTGCTTAGCTTTAGCTTTGTGGGCAGAGTGGGGCCCTTAGCACCCCTCTGTCCATCTCCTGGCCTCAATGTCAGGATGGCCTGATGATGAAGTTACATGGCAGAGCTGTTAACAGCCTCTACTTGGTTAATTGTTGGTGGGACTGGAGTAGCCAAGGGGAAAGGGCTTTACTTAACCTACCAAGGGCAGAGAACAGGAAGATGGGGAGACTGAGAGTTTAGTGGGGGATAATGAGCTGTTTAGTTATCCTCAGGGTTCAAGTCCTAGCTGTTCCATACCCAAGAAAGTCTCACAGAGCATGGGCCTTGAGGGGAATGCTAGGACCAGCACTAGGGAAGAAAGGGGAGTTGGGGTCTTAGGATGGGGGCAAGATATTTTTTGGGGTAGAATTATAGGGATGCTTTTTAGAGACAGAGGCCAGAGGGATCAGCAGGTCCCTATTTTCCCTCCCATTTTCTTCACTCCTTTTCTCCCTTATCCAACATTATTCTGGAGACATGTCCAATCTGGAGATTGGACCTTTTGATGCTGGGATTTGGGAGAGAAATCTTTCTCTACTGATGCATCTCCAACTCTGGCCTCTGCTTAAAACCTCAGCTCCTCCAAGTGTACCCCTGGAATTACCCCAGAATAGCAAAGGCAGAGCGCCTTGGGGCATCTTGGAAGCTCACCACCCGGCAAAAGGATGGGATACTCTGAGAAACAATAGTCTGAGGGCTCAGAGGAATCTTTTCAGCAGAGGGGCAAGGAAGCAACAGGAATACTGGCTTGTTGGACTCGAGATTCCTGGGGACCAGGCATTCAAGTTTAGGTGGTTTGGAGTTAGCCTCCTAGATTGGGAGTTGCAAGAGGACAGGAACGGATTACTTCTATTCAATCTTTATAGCTCCCCTAGGACCAAGCACAGTTCTGAATACAGAAGCCACTTCCAAAATATTTGTGAGTATGCCCAGTGACTACAATAACATAAACGAAAAGAAGCAGCAAAGGATGCCGAGTACTGGTTAAGTATAATGGCCAAGCTCGGCTTCACAGATGAGTTGAGAAAATGAGTCTTCCTCCCTTCTTTGCAAGGTGGTGGTGGTGGTGGTGGTGGGGACTGGGGACTAGAGGTAAGGGCAATGGTGTTTGGGAGCGGGCAATGATTGTGGGTGTGGAATCTTGCATAGATTTTCAGGCATGGTTGATGTTTTGGTCAATTTTGCTGAGTTTTTCCCGTCCTCCTTCTCCCTTTTACAAATCTTTGTTAAGAGGAATAGTTCTCTAAATAGGGGAGAGGGAAGGGATGTGTTGGGAGATTTGGAGATGAGTGTGATGAACCAATACAAAGCATCAATAAACATTTGAAAATGTTTGTTGGAATTAAAGTTGTAGCCAGGTTTCTGAGACTGAAGCTGATCTCCCACCCCCATTCCCTCGCCCTTGTCCCCCCATCCAATGCCCCCATTTTGTTCTATATACTCAGAATGTTAGAACTTCCAGAGATTTAGGGGTGGGAGTGGAGAGCAATGTAAGTGAAAGGGATGGTGACAGGGGCTGAGGGGGCTTCTAACCCAGGGGCCATACACTGCACTGACCACCTGGGAGGTTGGTCAGTAAGTAAGCATTGCTTCCTGTGTATCAGGCTTCCTCTGTACTGTGCTAAGTGCTGGGATACAAAGAAAGACCAGAACATGGTCCCTGCCCTCAAGGAGCTCATTTTGTCTCCCCTGAGGTGTTTAGTGCTGGGGTTCCTTACTATAAGAACAGTTAGGTGGTGCAGAAGATAAAGCACCGAACTTGGAGTCAGGAAGACCAGAGTTCAAATACAGCCTCAGACACTTACTAGCAGTATGACTCTGGGTAAGTCATTTAATCTCTGCCTCAGTTTCCTTATCTGTAAAATGGAGATAGCAATAGCACCTACCTCCCAGGGTTGTTGTGAGGATAAAATGAGATGACATTTGTAAAGTCTTTTGCAAACCACAAAGTACTATATAAATGATCATTATTGTTGTTGTTTTCCTCCCTACAAAGGGAGGATTTCAGGGAGTGAATACTTCATTCAAGGTAGGAGGTGGGAGAACAGTCCTTGGGCTCTTAGCTCTCCAGCTCCCAATGTCTGGTTTTTAGAACTGAGTTGCAAGTTCCTGGTTTCCTAGCTATGGGAAATGAGTATGATTGGTGGGGTATCCCCTCTCCATGTTTCCCCAAAGGGCCTTTTCCTCTGGCTAACTTCCTTCCTCTAGTTTTTCTTTCCCCTCCCCATAAAGAAGGTTTCAGAACCAACCCATTGCTCCTAGATTACACAAAGGGATTGTGATGGTGGTGGTGAAGGTTCATAGAAGACATCATACATTCATGTAGGACTGGTCCATGTGGCCATTGATTTCAGCAAAAGGGTGTGGGTGAGAATGGCTAGTCTGGTTTGGCTTTGCTGAAGAGAGGTAATCTAGTCCCTGGGAAATCCCTTTCCTCATCTTGGATTACTCTCCCCCCTCCCACAGAGGAAGGAAGGGAAGAAGAGAGAGGCTAGACAGGTCTAGATGGTAAGGATGGAGATGAGAATTGTGGGGAGGGGGAGGGTGGAAAGCTGTAGCCTGGGTGCCCCTGCCTGTGTTATTGTATCCATTTTCCAGTGGCAACGATGTGTGAAATGAAAATTGGACAGAGTTGGCTGCTCCCTGCTCAGAGGGCTGGGATATCATAGAGGGAGAAAGGGACAGAGAGAGGGAGAAGAAGGCACAGGGAGGGAGAAGAAGACAAGGGGGAGGAGGGGAGGGAGAGGGAGGAAGAAAGAATGAGAGAGAAAAAGAGACAATGAAATAGTGAGAGGGAGACAGAGAGAATGAGAGCAAAGGAAAGAATGAAAAGGAAGAGGGAAGGAGAGAGAGGGAGAGGAAAGAAGAGAGAATGAGAGAAAAGGAGGGGAAGAAGATAGGGAGGGACAAAATGAGAAAGGAAGGAAGGGAAGCAAGGAAAGAGGGGTCAAATAAAAGATGAAGAAGAGAATATGGGAGAAGAGGGAGACAGAGAAAGGAAAGGAGCAGGAGAGAGAAAAAATAGAGGAAAGAGAGGAAGAGCACATAGTAGGCACTTAAATGCTTGTTGAATAGAGGAGGAATAGCATGAAAGACAAGGAGAGAGGAAGAGGGAGGGAGAGAATAAGAGAGGGAGAAAGAAGTTAGGCAAAGGAGGGAAAGAGGAAAGGTGAGAGGAGAGCCAGAAAAAGGAATGGCAATAAGAGGTGAGTAGACTTTAGGGAATAATGTGTGTTGAATTGAGTTGAATCGAGAAGGGAGGTAGAGAGAATGAGAGACAGAAAGAGAGGAGGGAAGAAAGAGAAAGGTAGAGGGAAAAAAGGGAGGCAGAGAGAGGGTAAGGGAAGGAGTGAAAAGGAAGAAGAAGTAGGCAAAATGAGGGAAGAAGTAAATGGAGTAAGTATAGAGGACAACGTGGGAGAAGGGGAGAAAGAGAGAGAGAGGGTTGGGGGTTTGTGCTGCTGCTTCCAGGATAAGAGGCAGAGAATCAGATAGGACATGAAGGGCTCAGCCCAATCTCAGGCCCCAGTATGGTTGGTCAGGCCCCTCACACTCCCCATCCACCCCTGAGTGCCCCACACTCACCAGGGTCTCCGGCGAACATCATACAGGTCAATCTTTTTTGGTGCTCTCCAAGGGGTAGCTGTGGAGCAGTGTAGAACAGAAAGTGGCTGAGTACTGGGCTTTGGGGCAGGGGCATGAGTCAATGGGATGTGGTGGGGTTAGGCTCTGGACCCATTCTTGGAGGAGAGAGCCGACTCCAAGGAGAAGAAACAGAAATACTAGGGCTAGAAGCTCAGGTTATTTCCTTGATGCCACCATGTCCTCTCCATGCCTTGAAGCCAATGACTGGTCAGATTTCATATCTCCATATGCCAGGACAGGCAGAGAGAGGACAAAGGGCTGACACAGAGTGGGCATAGGGTCTCTGGAATCGGCCCCTGGTTTTACTGTATGGGTTGATCTATCCAAGGAAGGGTAGCAATTCCTGGTGCCATGGGTCCTCATCTCCCCAGATACCCACCTGGGTAATAGCGGGTGACCCCTGTGGCACTGCCAAAAACCTGCCATAGTAGCGATGGGTCCTCCTTACGGTTCTCCACAAATACATCTTCCAGGGATTCTGTCCAGTTGAGTTCATTCAGAATCACTGTGGCTGTGAACAGAGGAGGGAAAGGGCTCTAGGCGCTCTGATGCCATCCCACATAGTAGGGGTTGAGACGCTAGAACCTGGGGGACACTGTGGGGAACAAGCAAGTCTTGGATGATCATAGCTACCTCTTGGGTAGCCTTCCTGTCCCATGCAACCTCTCCTTCAGAGTTATCTCATATAGTCATAAATCTCACCATATCATACTCCTTCTCAAGAACCTACCAGGGCTCCTTACTGCCTATGGGACTCCCCTCAGACTCCTCAATTTGGCATTCAAAGCCCTCCATAACATGGTCCCAACTTACTTTCCAGTCTCTCTGATTCTGTTCCCCTATACCCTCTTCACTTATCCCTATATATCCCAGATTCATTCCCACCTTTGAGATTTTGCTAATGTTCTTTTCTGCTGTTTGGAAAATCCTTCTCATATAGTTCTCCTCCCTCTCTACTCAACCCTCAACCATCTTTCTATTAAAATCCTACTTATCCTTCAAGGCCCAGTAAAATCCCACTTCTTTCAGGAAGCCTTTCCTGATTTCTCCAACCCACCATGAAATCTCCCTCCTCTGAGCTCCTATGACACTTGTCAGAATTGCATAGGGTAATTTACACCACTTGGCTATTCTCTTCTCTGTGTTCCACTTTCCCCTAGACTACGAGCTCTCTGAGAGTGGGGCCAGGATACTCTTCTTTTCTTTTCTCTTCTCAGATTGTGAGCTTCCTGAGGACCGGGACCTGGTCTATTTCAACTCTGCAAATAAAAACATTTTAGAAGCTCATCACTGCTTCCTGTGAAGAGGGGGAGTCAGGGCTCAGATTATAACCAGGGTCAGGCTCATTTTGGGTTGGCTATCTGCCCTCATTTTTGGGTTGAGCTTATGGGGTTAGTTAATGGCCAAAGTCCAGAGAATCCAGCATGTTGTAGATCAAGCAGCATCTAAGGTATATGACAAAGGAATCGGCGGTCCATATTCCCTTTAGGAATGGCCCCTTGAGCCTTCTTGCCCCACTGAGCCTGTCCCAGAGAAGAGTGGGGCTGGCTCCAGGGAGTTCACCCTACTCAACATGCACTGTAGGCCACCAGCCTGGCATGAAAGCAATTAAGGGTCTGCTGATGGCACTGGAATTATTCAGCTATTAAGGCAGCTGATAAGCTGGAAGCCATTGGGCTCCATGATTAATCAGCTAGGGCTGGGAGCATTGGGTGGGGAGGAGGGGATGGTAGTAAGGTCATATCTTTCAGGGGGGTGCTCACCCGGGGCTGGGGCTGAGGCGAGGGGGGCCCTAGATTATAAACGAGTTCAAGAACAGTCACATGGGCATACATACACCTACTCTGCTCACAGATGGGCTCACACAGATATATATGTCCAAGTATACCCACATCCACACACTCCATCCCCACTGACATAGGTGCATGTGTATCCACAACCTCAGATGCACAATCTGACAATGATATCCATGGTAAGAATCATCTCGAGTCTCTATAACACAAAGACTTCACTGTTAAAAAAGCCCTTTCACACTCATTCTTTTACTGTCTCTTCCCCATGAGAGGAGCAGAGCAGGGATTACTATCCCATTCTTATGGATGAAGAAACTGAGGCTTAGAAATGGGAAATGACTTACCTAGTGAGTCTGTGGAATGACAGGAGTCAAAGGGCAGGATTCTTTCCATTGCATCATGCAAATATGCTTATAGCCACAGATGTGCATACAAACCCACATATATGTTAGACATGTAGACAGTAAGGGAGAAAATTTGTTCACTGATCCCAGGCCCTGGTCTCAGACTGAGCCTGACCATGGTCATAAACTGTCTCCTGAACTTCATTTCAGACTACACTGTGAACTTGTCACAGCTTGAGCCATGAATCCCAGAGTAGAGGTAGAATGTGTTCCACTGTAAATACAGAATTCCTCTCTTGCCAAGCAGATCTCATGTTCAGTCCCTCCACCTATCCCATCAGGACCAGGAGGGGGAACACACACATACCCAAGACCATTGATTCAGAGATGAAGGAAACTTAGTCACCCAGTCCTAGAATCACAGGAGCTCTCCAGTCCAAACCTTACATTTTACAGATGGAAAAACTGAGTCCCAGGTAATGACTTGCCCAGAATCACACAGGCAGTAGATAGCAGAGTGAGGATTTGAACCCGGGTTCTTTGACTCCAAATTTAATGTTCTTTCCACAATACCATACTGCTTCATGTATACTCCCACACCCATACAACCAGATCTTTGCTCATGAAATCCTCTGACTGATCAAAACCTTTAAATCAGTACTAGCCCTACCTTTGGGATCAGTTCCACACAACCACACATGGACAGGAATCATTAATGTAATTTTACCCTACAGTGCCTGTGGTAGCACAGAGACCAAGGCACTCTAGGTACTTTCTGATCTTCTCATTCATAAACAAACCGGTAAAAGTTTCAATCTTGAGAGCAGTTGAAGAGCTTTGATCAATAGTTAACTAGCTTCATAGATCATTAGAGCTTGCAGGGATCTTAAAACTTACCTAGCCTAACTCAGCCTTTTCATTTGATAATTGAGGAAACTGAAGTCCAGAGCAGAGAAGGACTTTGCCCCAGGTCATCTATATGGTCAGTGTGCATTTTGTTATTTGATGTGCTCCCTGGAGAAAGCTTGACATTCTCGCTTCTTAATTTAGAGAGTATTTTAAAAAATTCTCTTTAAGGAGAAAAAAAAAAACCCTTAAGTTAAGTTACATTTAATTTGGAGTCGTCTGATGATTCTCTTTGTGGGTCAGTGACTGTTCAGAGAAAAATGTTGGGCCACTTGGTTTTACTCCTTCAGGTTTGATGGCTGTCACATACACACCCTCAATACCCATGCCACCCCTCCCCCCACCGCCATACATTTGGACATACAATAGTACATCTGCAGTAAACATTGAAGACTCTGGCAAAGATCTTTGCTGACATGCATATGCTTACAAATGCTCAATCTCACACAATGACAAATGCAGGCTTATACCACCTGAAGCCTCGAACACATTCACTCACCACACACACACACACACACACATACACACACACACACACACACACACACCCCCACACACACCTCTCCCTACCAAGAAGCTTGTCAAGTTCTGTGATCTCCCTACTCCTGCCAGAGCTGACTTCCTTCTTCACCCCTCCTGCCTCCTCACAAGATCCTAAGTGTACAAACACATACTCACACCCACATATAGGCACCCTGGGTTAGGAAATGGGGGACTACCCCCACCTCAGGCAAGTGATTACAGGCAAGTGATTAATTACAAGTGACACAGTAAATAAAAAAAACTATCAAATGTAATTTGTGTGGGTAGTGAGGGGTGACTGGGGAGGGCGGGGCAGCCAGTGTTTTAATTAGTGTGGCTGCCTTAGATAGTGCCCCTCTGCTGGCACAGCCCCCAGGGAGGCAGGACCCAGGGGATTAAAATGACTCAGCTTCATCTTTTCCTGGGGGAGCTAGGTGTCCCTGCTTCCAAGCTTCCACATTGCCTGGGATGCCTCTCTCTTTCTCTGTCTCTGTGTGTGTGTGCAATCTAATCCCCTCCCCCACCTCCAATTCACACACTCAGTCTCTCTCCCTTTCTTTTCTTTTTATTCTCCTTCTCCCTCTCACTCTAACTTCTCTCTCTTTTGGTCCCATTCCTTCCTCCTTCCCTTTGTCCCTCCTTAATTAAAAAAAAAATGGTCTATTTTTCTACCTTTTCCAGATCAGAGGTCAGGGTCAGAGCCCAAGCGTCTCCCATGGGGTGTTCTTATGATCTATCCAGACTCTCCATTCGGTTTGGCCTCCCCCTCAGCCCCAGCTAGGGTCCAGCTCCCCAAACCTAACATTCTTCTTGGAGGGGGCTGATAAGAGAGAGTAGATGGTACAAGGATAGACTTGGACAGGGGTGTACGGGGGGCATTTTCTCCCATCCCTGTGCGTCTAGCTTTAGGGTTCCATATCTTTGCAACTGAGCTTAGAACATAAATTATAGGACGCAGGGTCACAGATCACAGCTCAACCAGTTCTTCAGAGCAGGAGACTGGGAATTTGTCATCTTTGGCTATGCCCTAGCTCAAGCAAAGGAACAGTTTAGAGCTAGAGAAGGGTAGAAAGGCTCTCTTGGGGGAGAAAGAATGTTTGGGAAGAGCTGTATACTGGGACTCTATGTCTGTGTATCTGAATGTGTGTGCATACTAGAAAGAAGGAGGCACCAGTAGGAGGCTGTGTGAATGCTCACCCCACACATATATGAGGATGTGAGTATACATATGCATGTGAGTGCATGAGAGAATGCTAGTGTGGGGCACTTGGGTACATACTAGCATGACCGTGTATGTATGAAAATGTATAAGCACTGACCATTTCTTCATGTGTAAGTAAATGTATGATTATGGATGTGTATCTAGGTGACTGTGTTTGTGATTCTGCATATGTGTATGAATGAGATACTATTTATGTATGGGTTACTATATGCATGAGCACAAAGAGTGACTATATATATGTATATATACATGTGAGATTGCATGCAATCTGTGTCATTCTGTGTGTATAAAAATGGATGGTGTTATTTTTAGCCATTTTTCAATCTTGTCTGACTCTTTGTGACCACTTTTGGGGTTTTCTTGGCAAAGATACTGGAGTGGTTTGCCATTTTCATCTCCAGCTCATTTTACAGATGAGGAAAATGAGGCAGAAAGGGTTAAGTGACTAGCCCAGGGTCATATAGCTAGTAAGTAAGTGTCTGAGGCTAGATTTGAATGGCTGGTCTTTCTGATTCCAGGCCCAGCTCTCCATCCACTGTGCCACCTAGCTGCCCCAAATATAGATGCACAGAACTGTTAACAATGATAGCATTTATCCAGTTCTTTGAGGTTTGCAAAGCTCTTTATATATATATTTTGTTTGAGCTCATTGGCCAAGCATCAAGTCCCGAGGTGAATATCTCAGGGCCAGGAAGGGCCAGGAGCTTGGGGCACATGGAAGGGTGGCCAGGAACTATGAGCTCTAATCTAAGATTCAGGTTCATTCTACAAGTGTGGATCCTAGAGGAGCAGGGTTGATGTGCTGTCAGTGGGCACAGCCTTGGCAGATGAAGTAAGTTTCTCCCCCCCCCCTTGCCATGGCAGGCTAAGAGTGCTCTGGGGCTCTGGATCCTTACTGTCCTGACCCCAGGCTTCTTGGGAGGCAGTGTGGCATAATGGAAAAAGAACTGGCTATGGAGACAAAGAATCTGGGTTCACCTGCTTGTTGCCTGTGTGATCCTAGGCAAATCAATTTACCTTTATGGGCCTTGGTTTTCCATCTGTAAGATAAAGTGATTAGATTATATGACTTCTATTATTCCCTTCATCTTTGATCTACGAGCCTGGATTTATAAATTTCATATAAATATAAATTAATATATTTCATATAAATATAAATTTATATACAAATTATAAATTTATAAATATAAATATATTTATATACACTGTGCTCTCAGTTGGGAGGTTTGGGGTCTGGCTGGATAGGACGGGCAGGGAGACCGAGGGGGCACTCACAGCCTTTGTAGATGTCCGTAGGGATCTGGACAGCCGTGTATGAGTAGTTGACCTTGTTTTTAAAGTTTGGGTCCTCAATGAAGTCCAGCTGCAGGGTACTGGGCTTCTCCCTCTCAAACTCCTCACCCTCGGGGTCCTCCTGAGAGAGAAAGAGACAGAGAGAGAAAAGGGAAGAGAGGCAGTGTGAGGGATGGTGAAGAGCGGAAGAAAGAGAGAGATAGAGACAGAGAGAAAGGGGCAGACAGAGCAATCTTAGTACAGCAGAAAGAAAGAAGACTGAATTTAGATGACAGAAAGTCTTGAATTCGAATTCCAGCTCAGCCACTTTCTACCTGTGGACCTTGGGCAAAGCATTTAACCTGTTAGTTTCATTATTTAGAATATGAGCTGGGTGGAAAGACTCAAATAACAACCCAATTCAATAAACATTCATTTCTATGCTGGGCAAGGCCCTGTCCTTGGTGCTGGGGATACAGAGATGAACACTGGACGCTGGTCTTCGAAGAGCTTATAATCTAATCAGGGGCGGGAGGTGGTGGAGGAATATTACATGTACAGAAATAAGTGTGATCCAAGGAAGAATTTGATAACATTGATAACCAAGGCAGCCATCTTCCTTAGCAAAAGGAACTTAAATGTTTCCTGTCAGTACAGAAACCAATCCTATGGTGATGACTTCAATTGGCCCTTCTAACTCTAAAACCTGTAACTCTGAAGAGGGAGAGAGAGAATGAAACAGAATCAGAGCTACAGAGACAAAGAGAAAGACAGAGAGCTGTCGAGAGAAAAGGAGAGATAGAGACAAAGAAAATGATGGGTATAGAGATAAAGACAAATAGATGTATATATGGGGGGGGGGCACCTATGTTTCCACACTTTAAAATGATAGGGTTAGATAAAATGATCCTTAACATTTCTGCCAACTCTGAAATTCTGTGATTTTTTTTGGGCGAAGGGAAAAAGTAAAAGAAAGGGATATAGAGAATGAGAAAAATGTTTCATCCTGGGGAAGGAGCTGCTGCTGTCATTATCACATGCCATCTAATCCTCTGGAACCCCCTTCTCCTCCACTCCCACTGAGCAAGTACATAGATACTTATTTATATACATTTATATATATATATGTATATTTCCTTCTCAGTCTCTGAGGTGGGTGGGTGAGGGTGAGATAAGGAAGGAGAAGAGAGCTAACCCCTCTTCCCATTAATGCTTCCCCAGTATTCTCCCCCCATCCCATAGATGGTTTAGAGCAAGGCTCATGGCAGCCAACCATAAGCTAGAGATGGCCTGGGAGCTACCTTGAGGGCTGGGAAAGTCTTTGAGAGGTAATTCTGTCCATATACTACACTGGCTATATCCTCTGTAGAGCAATTTCCTCTCCCCTGGCCTGAATTTTGTGTGTATATGTGGGGGTATTGAGGCTCCTCATGGTCCCAGCTGGGATGTCTCAACTAGTACCTTTTCAAATCTGAGAGAATCTCCAACCCAGTAAAAAAAAAAGGAAAAAGAAAATAGAACAACCTCCCCAAATCCTTGAAAATCAATTAGCAGCAAAAGGCAAGTATCAGAGACCAAATTAAAAGGGAGATCGGCTTAGTGCTCTGTCAATAAGGACGCAGGCAACATTTAATTACACAGCCTGATCAGCAAACTCAGGCTGAGCTTGCTTGGCTCCACACTCCCCAAATCCCCTCCATCTCCCCTCCCCCACTGTGGTTTCCCAGGCAACAAAGAGTACCATCCAGCAGTGTCTAGAAGGTCCAGGAATCCAGAGTCTGGGACCCAGGTCCTAGTGCCTTGACCTCCACCTCTGGGGAAAGAGGCTCCAGTGACTGTCACCCCTCTTCGCCTATGCCTGGAGCTGCCTGGTTGCACACATGGGCTTTCTGGACTCAGGGGGTTGGACTGGGAGGGAGGGAAGAGGCAGGTCTAGTGGGTATTTATAGGAGTCATCGTCTGGAGAGGGGTTGCAGTTCCCACCAGGCACAGGGATGGGGGAAGGGCTTGAAAGGCTCCAGTTGACTTTCTAAAAACAGCGGCCGCCTGCCCCTGACAGGTGCCAATTATGGCGTTTCATGGGCACGGGCACGCACTGCAGAGCCAGCCACCCACTCCTGTGCCTCCTGGCTCAGCTGGCAGGAGCCAGTGTTCTAAGTGGTGCACAGTGATGAGAGAGAGAGAGAGAGAGAGAGAGAGAGAGAGAGAGAGAGAGAGAGAGAGTGTGTGTGTGTGTGTGTGTGTAGAAGACAGCCCATCACTGGCGCAGGTGTGTAACAGAAACAGGGCAGAGACAGACAAATTGAGAAAGAAAGAGAGTTGAGAAGAAATAAAGACAGAGACACAGGCAGACAGAGATAGAGGAAAAGAGATAGAGAAAGAGAGAGACAGTTAAGAGTCATAGAAAGAGGCTGAGGGCATGAAAATGGCCCTTGTTAGAGAAGCTAACTTCTCAGGAGTCATGTCTCGAACAGTAGTGCTGAGCCGCACTGAACCACGCACGCTTTCTGGCTTGGTTCATTAAGAGTTAGGTCTTTCCTATCTCACTTTTCAACCTCATCTCCTACTGTTCCCCTTCAGAAACTCCATGCCCCACTTAGACTGGGTGACTCAACATTCCCCATCATCTGCACCCCAGGTTATAGAACCACAGGGATTATATGAAGGTTAGACTGGATAAATCTGAAGTTCCACCTCTAAATCATATCCATCTAGTTTAACTCCTCATTTTACAGACTGGAAAACCAAGGCCCAGAGGGAGGCAGTATGGTATAGCCAAAGAGGCTATGATCTAGAATCATAGTTACTGGGTTTAAATCCTGGAGTTGCCTACTTATTACCCGCATGACCTTGGGCAATATTATTATTAATTAATAATTAATAGATAATAATAATAATGATGATGGGTATTTACATAGTGCCTGAAGGTTGGTAACATACTGTACATACATTATCTCATTCAATCCTCACGATATTCCTGTGAGGTAAATGCTACGGGTGTTATTATCATCATTTTACAAATGAGGAAACTGAGGCTGAGAGATTGTAGTGACTTTACCAGGGTCACACAGTTACCACATGTCTGAGGTAGTACTGAAACCCAAGTCTTTCTGACTCAAAGGTCAGTTTTCTATGCATAGAATGAGAGAGTTATACTAGATGCCTTTTAAATTCCTTTCCAGGTCTGGATTCTTAGCATCTTAGAGACTTTCTCAAGGACACACAGTGGGAGTGGGGGTCCTCTGATGACAGAGGTATGTATGCAAGGGGAGGGGGAGGTTCAGGGAGTTAGGATTCTGTCTTTGCTCTAGGTGCCAAAGCCATTTCTGTCAGCATTAAGATGTGGCCTTGATCTCTGGAGGGCGGTGGTCTATCTGCTCTGTCTTAGAGATGGTGGGATGCTCCATCACATGTCTAAGTGAATACAGGGTTGGTTACGCAGAGTATGCTTAGGGGGAAAGATTTTTGGCTTGAACTAAACCTGTGTGATGGGTGATGGTGGAATGGGACAAGCTGGGCCTGAGCTCATGGGCCAGGCCTCGCCTCCTGGGGGAGTGCTATATCACCCACCCATCTAGGTCCGTCTCTCTCTAGTAACTGTTATGTGCTTACATCCCAGGACCTGTATTCTGCTGTGGTTTTCTAGCTACCTCTTATCACCAGCAGGTATGGACACAGAGCACAGGCACGTGCCTGAGGGCCCAGACAGCCATAAGCACATACACACAGGCCTGTCGGGCCCTTGAAATCCCCAGGTGACAGCAAAAGCCAGGAAAATGGGCTTTGAGGAGCCGTCTGGCCTCCAGATAGCAGGTGATAGGTTCTGAGCTGTCGCTGAAGATGTTTAAATCTGAAGAAGCAGAGAAGGTGGTGGTGGTTGGTGGGGGGAGAAGAAAACCCCTCAAATGTCAGTGGCAGATGAAGGGCGCTGGAAATTTTAATCTCCCAACTTTTTAGGTGAATGTGACATTTGGATCCCTCACAGATAAGCTATCAGCTGGAAAACTTCCTCCTTTTTTCCTCTGCCCCTCCCAACCCCCACCTTCTGTCTGGTAATTTAAAAGTAAATGGTCTAGAAAGAGCTCTAAACAGTTACCTTTGGCAAAGATTAAGAAAATAAGCAGCCCACCATTGCTGTGGTTTTTATTTATAATAGGATGGTTGCCAAGCTGGGGACTGCAGCGCCTCCTCTGTGCTGCCCTCTGGGCTTGTGCTGACCATAGGCCTCCCCAAGAGGACAAGCCGGGGTCCAGTGTCCAGGAGCTCAGGCTCTGGCCCCTCTCTGTGTAAGTGGTGAGTGGGGAGTGTGGGGGATGGGACGGGGAGACGCTGAAGCATAAGGAAGGGAGCCGGGGCTGTCCGAGGCTGGCAAGGCTAGGGAGGCCTCCATCACTCAGCTAGCTCTGGCCTGTGTCCCGGGGGATGGCGGTGGGGGACCAGAAGAATCAGGAAGAAATAAAGCTCCCTGGTTTATATTTAATGCACTGATTGCTAAAATTATAGCACGGAGCTGCCGGGACGGGGCTAAGGAATTAGAGTCAGTGTCTAATTAAAGGTTCACTCCTCATTTGAATTTCAGATTTTAGCTTTAATTTTAGTAACTTCTCTGGGAGCAGTGGAGGCTCAGCCAAGGGGAAGCACACCTGCTCTATGACCACCCACTCTTTTCTCTGCCGCTTGGTCTCCTCTTCTCCCTCCCCCAGCCTCATTCTTAGCTTGCAGAACAGCCCCCCTCCCCCATGTTCACCAATGCTCTTGGGAGCCTTCCTATCCCAGAAATATCCAAATGGAAATGGAAAAGCTGACCTTTCTCTTTCCCCCCTTCCCTTGTCTATCCTTCAGAGACTTGTTGGAATCCTACCTCTTCCAGGAAGCCTTCCCAGATTGATCAGAAGATCAATCTTCTTTGGGATAAACCTCATCTGGATATCAGAGTGCTCCTGGTTCTCTCCTCTATGCCCTATGAATGTATTCACTGAATGACTGATTACTGTCAGGGCATGGAAGAACAACTTACAAATTATGCTTCTGTTTAAGCTTCTATTTGCAAAGCTCTCTCACAGTTACAGGTTCTGCCTTGAGTAGAATCTTTGAATCATAGAATGTCAGAGCTACAAAGATCTGTCTAGTCTAACCTCTCTCATTTTACGGAGGGAGAAATGGAGGCCTAAAGTGGAAAGCAGTTGCTCAAGATTACATAGTAGGTCAGTTGCAGAACTGTCAATGAAACTGGGGTCTTCTGACTCCTGGGCCAGGGATATTTCCACCAGACTGCACCACCTCTTCTGCAGTGGATGCTAGTCAGGGTTATTCTGCAGCCGGGATACATGAAGTGACATTGCTGCGGACGCCTGTGTGTTGTTCTGGGTTGTATTGGGGCAGGAAGGGAATGGGGTCTTTAACGGTAGAGATTGAATTTCAGGGTGATTCAGGGTAGAAAAATACTCACCAGCTCAGCATCTGCTTTGGAGTCGTAGTACTGGATATCTTCTTCCTGGAAGGGGAAAGAGACACGGCCCCATCAGAACTCTGTAAAAAATGTTTTAGCCTTCCAAGTTTCCCCCTTCCTCCTCCATCTTGGTCTCTCAGAAGTAGATCTGACAGCCTGGGGGAGCATGGCCCACCAAAGGGGCCCTCTCTGCTCTTTTGTCACTAAGAATCCTTTCTCCTACTTTACAGAGAACACCTGATTGTGTGTGTGTGTGTGTGTGTGTGAAAAAGAGAAAGAGAGAAGAAGAAGAAGAAGAAGTAGGAGGAGGAGGAGGAAGAGAAGGGAGAGGAGAAAGAGAGAGAGACTGAGAGATAGAGAGAGGAAGAGAGCAAGAGTGAGAGTGAGTGCAAGAGAGACAGAGAGACAGAGAAACAGAGAGGGAGAAAGACACAGAGAGAGAGAAAAGAAGGAAGAGGAGGAAGGAGAGGAGAGAAGAGGAGAGGGAGAGAGGGAGAAAGAGAGCAAAGGAATGAGAAAGTGAAAGAAAGAGAGGGGAGAGGGAGGAGGAAAGAGAGGGAGAGAGAGAGAGAAAAAGAGAGAGAGTAACCTGGGATGATGAAATGCAGAGGAAACTGGGTGATGGGAGGTGCTGGTAAGACTGTCATAATTAAATTTGACATTCCATCAGGAGGGGTAATTGAAGGGCACAGAATTAAAGGGAAGAGTGAGGAACTGATGGCTCTGGGCCAGGGTCAGGCCCCTCCCCATGAAGCCCCAGAAAGCCCACCACCATCTTTTATTCATTAGACTCCCACAGGGTGGGGCTGCTTTGAAGACAATCTCCACTCCAATCCTTTCACTTCAGCCTAATCCTCCGCAGGCCCTGCCCTGGGGCCTGATCTCTGCCTCCTCCAACGGTTTCTTTGGGGCTAGACAGAGTACTTCAACTCTGGGGTCCTACCAAGAGAAGGCTTTCTACTTTCTGATGAGAAGGATGTCAGGCACATCACCAAAGTCATTTATTTACTAGTTTTCTCACTGGCCTGAGATGGGATGGGAGAAAATCTGGCCAGAACATTGTTCCCAGAGGCTTCCAGCCTGGGACAGATTCCCAGGTACAAGCCTTCAGCCCGAATACACAGCCACACAGACGTAGAGGACCCTAAGTCTCCCAGCCCTGGCCAGATGCTTGGATTTAGGCCCTGACCTAAGATTAAGGGACTTAATGCTAAAAGAGACTTTAGAGACCATTTAATTTAACCCTTTCATTTTACAGCTGAGGAAACTTAGGCTTAGAGAGGCTAAGGTCACACAGATATTAAGCATCAGAGCCAGGTTCCTTCCAATTATAGATTCAGTGCTTTCCACTAACTACAATGTCTTTGGGGACAGGTGCACACAGACCTAAGCCCTGTCCTCAGAGTCAGACTCATGGATATGTTGCCTATGTCCAGGACACCCAGACAGATGGACAGGGCAGAGAGTCACCTGGGGTGCAAGTAGGAAGGCACAAAATCTATAAACCCAGATGCCCTGATGAAATGGAAGATCTTAAATTGGCTCTAGGCTCCTACCCTGCACATTACTCTTCCCTCACCTTCTCCAGATCCCATAACCACAAGGGCTGATTTCCTCCCGTGGAACTGCTGCAGGCGGCCCATTAGTCAGCCAATCAACAGAAATTATTATGTGCCAAGTACTATGCTAGGTGCTAGAGATATAGAGTGAAAAAAAAAAACAACAACCCAACCAGCCCTAAAAACCAAGTCAAGGTCTCTCCCCTCAGAGCACTTACAATCTAATGGCTGGGACAGTTAGGAATTGGGGAGATGTAATCATGAGAGCAAGGAGCATTCTCCTGCCCAGCTGAATGTTGGGGAAGTAGGGGACTCTGAGGAGGACACAGACTCAGAGGCTGTCCTGAGGTGGTCAGTTGTCCAGAATGTCTTTCCTCTTCAGAAGTTCTAGAGGACCCAAATTGGCTGCTGTAGCTTGACCCCAACACAGTGAATGGCAGGTCTGCCATCTGGACTCAGTGTAGTTCAAGGAGGTCACTGTGGCCTGGCCCTGATGCACCGTCCAGGGTTGCTGCTTCTTGAATGTGATGCAGGATGTGGTTGTCAATGCCACCAAGACCCAGCAGTGTGCAGTGCTTGCTGCTCCCTGGACCCAGTGCCACCATGAGGTAAGATAGGACACCAACCGTACTCTAATGATGGAGGGCACCACTGTGCTGATCTAGTGCATTGTAGACTTGACTAACACCACTTCCCATACTCCTAGTGCCCGGCCTCTGTTCCAAAGTACTTGTCAGGATGACCCACTCACTGCTTTGTAGAATCCCTGCCAAGCTGTCCCTGCCCCCCAAGCTGAACCACAAGCCAGAAGAAGGATCAGTCCCAGACACTCTCTCTTGTTCAGAATTCATCGTAGAGATGAAAGAAAAGATAATGGAGCTTGGGGGTAGTGGTGGAAAGAGGAGGAAGGGAAAGGAAGAGGAAAGAGGAGGGAGGAAGAGAGAGAGAGAGAGGGAGGGAGGGAAAGAGAGGGTGGGAAGGAAGAAGAGGGAAAGAGGAAGAGGGAGGGAGGAAGAGAGAGAGGAAAAAAGAGAGAGAAAAGGGAGAGAAAGAGAGAGAGAGAGAGGGGAGGAGGAAGGGGTAAGTGAGAAAAGGAAAGGGGGGAAGAGGAATGAGGAGAGAGGGAGGGAGGGAGGGAGGAAGAGAGAGAGAGAGAGAGAGAGAGAGAGAGAATGATGAATTGACTCCATATCCTCTAATATCTTTTATTAAAAGTCCAGTCATTATGGGAACGTACTTATTAATTATCTGTGATTTGTTGTGAAACGTGATAGGTTTGCAACTTGAGAAGAAGGAAACACAATCCTCACTCCTGCCAGAAGCTCCCTCCCCTTGTTTCTTTCCACCTGGCTCCGCCCTGTCTCCATCACGGTACGGTCAGTCCTGGGGCCTGGGTTCCCAGCCATCTGCATGCCATAATTACCTAGGCCCCCAGGAGACCCATAACACAAACGGGCTAATTTCATGTTTAATGACCTTTAATCAGGAGTGAGTGTGATGGCCCGGTCGGTGGCGAGGTAGGCACCTGGTGCTGCTAGAAGCTGCCCCAGGCCTTGTACTTTTTTCTTATATTGTTGAGGAAAAAATTGAAATAAAAGCTGGAGGATCAGAACTGGGCCCTCCTCCTTCCCCCAGATCTGCCTGATGAATTCTACCTCCTTCTCTTTCTCCCACTTCCTCTTCCTCTTAGACACTTGGCATCCCTCTAGGATATTAGAGAGTGGGGTGAAAGTGGGTCCTGGCTGGGGATTCCCACTGGGGGCCTGGTCCTATCTGTGGGTTGGATGAGCCAGGCCCCCCTCCCCTAGGAGGGGCAGGAGAGAAGCTGCTTTGGGACAGTTCCTGCAGATCCTTCCAGTGTCCTCATCATTATTGCCAGAGGAAACCAAGAAAGGCTATCCCCTCCTTAGGACCCCCCGCCCCCCCGCCAAAGGCAACCTTTCACACATATATATAGAACGACCCCCTATCTCCCATAATGTACACGTGTATATATACAAACACATACACAACAGAACTCTCACGTACATGCACATAACCCCACACATGTGTGCCCTCATGCACACAGCTGCACAGAGGGACTGGAAGGGGCTCCGGACCTGTGATTTCACTAAGTTTCACAGGGAACCCTCAGATGAGGAGACCCTTCTACCAACGCCGGTCGGCCCCTTTCTCTGCAATTTATAAAGAGTGGCCTGGAGCATCAGAGGTTAAGTGATTTGCTCTGGGTCACTTTTGCAATTTGCATATATAGTCCCCATTCCCTTCCCTTCCTGGCCCTCTCCCTCCTTTCTTAGGGAAGTCAGCACTCATTTTCCACAGCTATCACTCATAGCACATTCTTTCCCCTTTAATCTCCGAGTAGCTTGGGGACCTCAAAGTTTGTCTCAGGGTCCCTGAGGGCCCCATCCCTAAGACCCCCATTCCCTCTTATCTTCCAGGATCTTGGTATGCGCAGGTCTTGCCTCCCACACTATGCTCTGGGGAAACCACTGATTCTTTGTCTTTTAAATTTGGGGAAACTGAGGTTGGGGCAGGCCAAGACTATTTCTCTCCCCCCATGCCCTGTCCCCCAATTCCTTCTCCCACTCAGCCCCTACACCTCCAGCCAATATTCACTTTCCTAGTTCTTTTTCCCTCTGCCACTCACCTTGTGCCCATTTACCACCTGCTCAGTCAATAAACTTGTTGATTCCCAATGCACTGAGGAAAGCCAGGGCAGACTGGGGTAAACTCCCATTAAATGACATCTGACCATTCCCAGGTACATTCATGTGCCATGTCCTGGTAGTAGAGCAGCTGGGGCTAGAGTCTGCCTGGCTTTGTGCCAGGTGAGTTTATGGTGGTAGTGGTGGTAATGGGGCAGTAGCTGCGGTCAGAGGTTGTTGAGAGTGCAAGGCTACTCCCTTCCTGGAAGTGGGATATGGGCATTCTGGGACCACAGCCAAGGGATGCTATGGGAGCCATTGCCACAGTTTGGTATAGTAGAGAGAGCCCTGACCTATGAGTCTAAGGATCTCAGTTCTAGTCCTGACTGCTCCTCACCCTTTGTGTGACCTAGGATCACTCCCTTCACCCTGCTCGGCCTCAGTTTCTTTATCAGTAAAAAGAGGGAGGTGGAATAGATAATTTCTAAGGTCCTTCCTAGCTTTAACACTGTATTAAAGTGTGAATTTCTAACACATGCTGGGGAAGAAATGGGAACCCAAGGGAGAAAAGCAATGTCTGAACAGGTTTTTTGAACCCTGGGTGTGAGTGGGGGAGTGGGATGGAACAGGAGCTAAGTACCTTTCCCAGCATCCTCCTGGCTCTGTGTATACATGGACTGTATGGAATGATTACTTGGACCCAAAATGAAACTGGCTTCTCTAATCTCTAATTCCCTGTCTCTCTACTCGGGTTGCTTCCATTCTATTTTCAGGGTAGGAGTAGAGACATTTGACCCCAGACTCAAGACGTGGTTTGGGGCAGGTATAGTAGATGTCC